CAATTATCCTATCTACTCACCCCCATCTCTGCAAAAAAAAAAGCAGCATCAACAAAGTAATGTAATGTCAAATAACAGAGATGCAGGACATTAAAGAAACTCAATTGAATTTTGCTGGTTAGTACAGAATGGGGTTTTTGTTGTATCAAATTACTCCAAAAGAAAAAGCCATTTTACAAGAAGATTAAACATTACAATAACAAAGTCAAAAGGAGTGCTGTTTATCTTTTCCTCTCTCACCGTTCCTAAGACTACATTTAATGACAGCCTAGGGACCACATTTGTTCAAGCTGAAGCTTTGTTTACTTTACCCATGTGATTGCCCAACCTTCAAAGCATATTCATACCAAATATTTTTAAAGAACACRGAATTTGAGAAGTTATACATGCCACACCTAATATTAATAAGTCAGTACTTTTTAGCAATCTGTGAGAAAGAGGAATAAGTTTTACAAACAGTTATAAAGAACTAGTAAAATAGATTTTTTTCAGTCCTGAACTGTTAAGAGTCAGGAGCTGAGACTGGATTCAATATGAAAAAAAAGAGGCCACTCTAAATGTACTTGTGTCCTTTTAAACAGGTTTCATTGTCACTTAATACTTACGCTGCTTTTTGAGGTTTTTTTCAGTTTGGTCTCTTCCTCACACACTCAAGCCTGAGAAGAAAACCTAAATAAAAAGGGTCTGGTAGTTGCACTTGTGTCTAAAAACGTTAGTGAAAAATAAATCTTATGAGAGAGATGCATAGGAATGGCAAGATTAATTTATGTCATTATGATACAACAGGGTAAGCTAAATACACAAGAGGCTATTTCACAATTGTGATGGAACACCTGGAATAAGGGGACAACAGACAGCATCACAGTGTCAAACAACAGATTCAACCTTCTAATACTTTGGTTTGGGTAACCAAAAGCATCTGGGCACACAAGGAACCAACACAAYTTAGTGTCTCTATCTGCATAGTTTCTGTTGTACACCAGTGACATTTATTACTACTTTCGTAATTGCTTGTCCTCTAGCAGGAGAGTGTCATGAGTAAACAAACACAGCTGCACACAGCACCACGGCAGCACCCCAGCACTCCTCACAACACAGCTGTGCTATAGCTGCAGTCACTCGCTTTCTGAAGCCTTCCATGCACCAAACCAACCAAAACATAGTTTCAATTTTTATTTACACAATCTTAATTACCCCAAGGCATCCCCAAAGATCACAGAAATTAAATGCACACAACAATGCTGGTCCAATTCTTTTTCATTAAATGGTGCTGCAAAACAAGATTTTGAAAAGGATTATATATGCATCACACGTCATTCTGTGAGTAAGAAATAGRAACTTGGAGTTAACACCAAAGCAATGTTGACCACAATTTTCAGAGTGGAAAAGATTGAAAGCCTCCCTCCCTGGGATGCCTGCCCTGCCTCCCAAGCAGGCATCATTTCCACACAGGATCCCAGAACCCATCAAGACACAAAAATTCCCACAGGATTCACTTCCTTGCTAGTGACTCTTTTTAAACTTTTTAAACTTTATCGTAATCCATACGATAAGTGAGGAGATGTGTGTATAACTAAAGTATCACACATGCCAGAACTGGATTCAAATTTTAAACTAGATCTATCCCAGTGAAACTTAATTATTTTCTCTTAAGCTACATGTGATTTTATAAAATCACAAGGTAGCTTTAAAATCACAGAATTTAAAATAGTTTAGATAACAAGAAAATCAGGGAAGCACAAGGAGTTCACGCTACTGGGACTTTCATTAGTATGGAGATTTCAGGAATAAACACAACTTCTTTTAGATATAAAAGTTGATTCTTCATTACACTAGTTTAATGACTGCTTACCACAGGGAAATTATACTAATTAAGTTTCTGTGCGTCAAAAAGGGAACTTAGTAACTAATTTTACAACATTATACAARTCCTCTTAATAACAAATACTTTTTCTCAGTGGTATTTTTGAGCCTATGCATACATTTATAATACAGTATTTGATAAAGCAGCTCTGCACAAGAAATGCTAAGATATTTATGGAAGCAGGTACCAAGACAGAGTTTGTTACCTAAACTTCTGTTTTCTAATGAAATRTAATTAATCGTATAATTACATTATCTACCCAAATATATGGGTCACTAAGACAAATTAAACAAAGATTTAAATTCAAGATAAATATCAGCAGCAATTTCATAGTGGAAAAAGCTCTCAGGGATTTCAAATCTTGCTCACACAAGTAAATTTTASTTTACTGGGCATGACAATATTGCTGACATAGGTTAGCATGGAATGATGAACGTTTTATAGCACTACAAAATTTCAAAACATTAATAGCTATTACAAAATTTTAGTTAGTCTTGCAAAACCATCAGCGTAAAGAAACCAATCAGTTACTTATGTCACCTGAGGCATTCCACTTCAACAATTAYATATTGTTGTACTGTACCGAAAATACAATGTGGCAATTGCTTTGCTAAGCAAAGAATTATTTGTAGCTCTCTCTAAGCGAACCAGTTTAGAAACTTGGCAGGTCATACAGTAAAAATAAATACATGCCTCTCTATTAAAAAAAAAAAAAAAGGAGTTTCACARATTTAGTTTTGCTTTTCTCCTCCCTTTTCCCATAACCAATTGGTTCCATAGCATACATATCAAGGCAAGAAAATCTGTAGAATCTGTTTGCAATCTGGCAAACCTTCCAAATGGTGAACAACCATGAGTCCACCCGTCTCACCAGAGTGAAGATGTCACAGAGTGGAAGAGATCATCTAAACTAAAGTGTGCAGCCAGGTTTGTGCTCTTGCATGTCTCCCACATATTCTAAAAAGTCACAGCAAGATCCTGGTCTCCATCAATAGAAAAGTTCTATTTATTTCAATGCTGAAATAGATCATTTGACTTGCTTTAGATGCCTATATAAAAAAAAAAATATGGATTTCACCTAAGGAATCAGCTTTTTCTCATTGTAAAATGAGCACAGGATGACTAAGTCAGAGACACATATAGAGACAATGCCTACACCTCGACATTCCACAGGAGCCAAATACTAAGTTTTTAGACAAATTGCCAGAACTCTACGTCATGAGAAGGCTTGCCTCCATGTAGCAACATATGTTTAAAATAAGGCACAATCTTTTCTGTCTTGAATGAGCTGTTGAAATACCATAGTGTGGGCAGGAAATGTGACCAGAATTAAGTCACTGGCTGCTGAGCAGAGTTCAGAGGCATCAGCCTGTGTCAGGCTGTGTGAGGCTCCTCTCCTCTCCCACCCTGATTAGTGCCTGGAGCCAGGCACTGCTGAGCCGTTCTCATTCTGTGCTCAAATCTGCTCTTGGTCAAGAAGAGAAAGAAGAGCAGAGAGGGCAGCAGCAGTTCCTCACCTCAGTGCTTCTCCCTTTTCCATCACACCCTTTTCCTTCCAACCTAGCTACACTGCCCCCTTGCATTGTGTTTTCCCCCTGTTCTTCAAATTTTCCCTTCAACTTCCTTCTCTCAGAATGGCTAGCTTGGTAAAGTTGTCCTGCTTCTTCTAACCACACAGATCCCCTCAGCTGGTAGGTAAACTGGTTTAAACAGTTTACTCTGGCAAACTGGGGGCCTCCTTCTCTCATGATGCAGCAAGGAGAAGGATCTCTAAAAGCAGTGGTTASTCTGGACAAGGTCTGGATGGCTCCTCACCTGTCTCAAGTTTTGCAGCTCATGACAGAAGAGATGGGAGTGAGAAGGATGGGCAGGAGAAAGGAATCCTGAGACTACCTGCATAAAAGCTGGAAACCAGCACTGACTTTCCATCTTTTGTGACTCAACRTGAAATTAAGTGCAATTAAAGCCTAAAGGTGATCTTAAAGTTTTGTATAAACATCTCTTTCTTTGAACATGTGAGTACTGTTTCTCCTTTAAAAGTCCTTTGAAAACCAACTGTGATCTTACAAGGTCACCATCTTGAAAAGCTAGACACTCAAGATCTGTATTCTACACCTAGTCAAAAGCATGCAATGTTTTTGGCTGATGTAATGCTGGCACACAGCTACACGGAGACAGTACTGAAATTTCATCAAAAACAAAGCAGGAAAATGAGAAGGTGTAGGYTGGATTTAATGAAAGTATGTCAATAAATTAAAAATCAAGGGTATAGGTGCACCTTAGAACACACTATATGAATTCTGACGCAGAGTCTGGCTGACATGGATATTGTAGTTTGTCCCATACGCATTTATTCTGCATTATGAGACAGAACTGATTACTTGCATACAAGTATGTGTCAATCACGACAATTAAAGGTAATTAAATATGAAATTTCCCCATTAGTCTTCTTCTGCTACCTATATGTTCCAGGTACAAATTAGCACCAAAATAGAAAGAAGAGAGTTTATGACTGTAAATGCGTACGTGCCCCTGAATTGCGACACAGTTTCTACTGCATACTCTGTTTCCCACCTTCCGGAGGCATCCTGAGYTCCTGCGAACACAGCTCCCTCTAGGGCTTGAGTATTCCACTGAACCTCAATAACGCTTGAGTATTACACAGAACCTCCGAAGCTTGGATAATGGCCTTAAAAGGGGACTCCATGATGGCCACACAGAGCCCAGGAGCCCGGCGCAAAGGCTGAGATTCGGAAAACCTTCTGTCAGAAACAGATTCCCCGTTCCTGTGAAAATGACACACCTTTCCAATAGYTTGTAGGAAAGGGATTAACAGCGCCTGGTGTATGGGAGAGGTGAGATACTAAGCTCTGAATACCTGAAACTTACTTTCTGTCTAGTGAGACTGGTGAGTCTTGACAGGGCTCTCGTACGCTCGCAGCGAGGGAATAGAGGACGTGATCTAGCTGAGCAGCTGTGTCCAATGTCCCGGGTGCTGAGGCAAGGACTGGCCTATTTAGCCCTTCAGAATGTACAGGATCAAAGTTAATTAACCCAACATCACTTCTGCATGACCAGCTGCCCCACAGAGCAGCCACTTCCAGCTGGGGTTTGGTTTGCCCCTTGACAGCCAGCTAAAGGTCTGMAATGGATGAAGCTGGTTATCCAGTTGTGCTCAGTCTCACCAGTATCCAAGAGAGGAAAGGAGGGGTGGCACAAGTGCCTGGTGACACCAAGCAGACAGGGGGACACGGACCGCAGGCACATCCAGGTGTGCCCTCAGGTGCAGGCGGGCCTGTGCCGAGGGAGGCGGTGCCGGGGCTGGACCCGCGGGACATGCCCGGCCCTCAGYGCCCCCCTCCTCACTTTCCTCGAAGATCCCCGCCGTGCTTGCTCAACCCGGCGGTTCCCGAGCGCTTCCGCCGCGTTCCGTGCCCTCGCCTCCGCCGGGCGAGGCGCGCAGTCCCGCCCCTCCCTCCTGGCTCCCATATAAGCTCCCTCAGGCCGCTCGGCGCCGCCGTTCCCGCCCCGTGCCCAGGATGCTGCGCGCCGCCGCCCCTTGCCCAGTGCTGCTGCTCAGCGCGCTGCTCTGGCCCTTGGCTGCTGCCGGTGAGTGACCRACCCCGGGGGCGGGCGACAGGGAGGGATAGCCCCCGGACAGGGTGTCCCCGAGGAGAGCCGCCCCGCGCTGGCGGGAAGGGACAGCGACATTGTCCCTCGGGCCGCGGCGGGTCCCGGCTCCGAGCCGAGCTGCGCTGCCCGGGCCGCCGGGGGCTGGGTACCGCTGCTGCTGCGGGCTCCTCRGTGGCGGTGCTGGGGAGAGGGACGGCCTCGGGGGTCCACACTGGCAGTGAAGGCGCAGGATTTCCTCCCCTTGTCCCCAGCTCCGAGCTTGTCGCAGAGGTAGAGAAGGTAAATGACCGAGGGATTTCCAGAAGTTGCAGGGTGCCAGGGGTGTCCAGAGGTTACAGGGGTGCGAGGGTTTTTCCCGTCCGCCTTCGTCCCAGGCATTTCCCCGAAGCAGCTGTGGCTGGGGGGATCATCGCAGCCTCCCATCTGCTTGAAGGGGACACGAGCTCATCCTGGGGTGGCCCCGCTCAGATATAGTAGGTGTGTAGGGTAACCACTGATTTTTAAAAAGACTGTCTTCCCAAAATATGTAAATGGGAATCTRGGAGCTTTCTGCGGCAGATACAGCTAGCGATGATTTTGAACTACTCTGTACTTGTTCAGTGCTTGAACATTCTCATGTGTATCTTCAAGCTTTTGTATCTTCTCCAGAGGTCTTGGATCAAAAAGGGAGCATTAAACAGGATTCCAAATTAAGTCATTAGTTTCAGAGTTAGAAGACAGAAAATTGTTTTCTTCTTGCTTTTCCCTTCTGCCAGGACACATTCCTTTAGTAAGATGAGCAGCCTTTTAGTTAAGGGCAGGACTGAGCCTTTTCCCCTAAAAAAGTTTCCAAGTTGCAATTAACGGCACTGCTTCATTTAACTAAACAGTGACCAGAGGGAAACAGGAATTATAAGGTACTTTTTTTCTGTATTAAATTCAATTATATACTTTTTTTCTGTATTAAAAGGCTATGAAGATCTACCAACAGCAGTCAATATAACGTGGTCTTCAATCAATTTTAAAACTATACTACAGTGGCAACCAAAACCATCAGGCTACTTCTATACTGTAGAAATACACGGGTAAGTAGATTATGTCCATTAACGGCAATTGAAGAAAATGTTAAGAGAGCATGTTTGAATATTTCTGRGAGTGAATATAAAAGGAAAAGTGCCCAAACGTTAGGATTTAGAAAAATTGCCAACCCAACTGTTAATATTTCTTAGCGTCCAGCTATGTATGTATCTATATATCTACATATATATATCTAGTTTAGACTTCTGGTTTTGCCCACTTCAGAAATGGAGAGTTAAGCTTTAGATCAGTGGTTCAGTTCTGGGGTTTGGTGCTGCTCAAGAGACCCAGCCAGGATACTTTGAAGGAGTTGATGCTCAATCTGACGTATCACGTATTAGACAGAATYTCACCTTTTTATGTCTTTCATGGTGTCTGGACTTGTGTCTTCAGTCTTGGGAGTTGTCTAATAAAAGAGTCTGCATTTTATTCTAATTGGTGAATCACAGTAGTTAATAATTTTGTCTTGCTGGGTAATACTAAAAATTACCTTTGTCTGCCCTTCCTCTGTTACCATGTTTTTTGTAAGCTATTAAATATTGTGGGCATAAAATGTATGTTTTCACAGCTTATGTGAAGTGTGTAGTGCCTCTTTCAGAACTGCACAAAACYTTCCATGAAGTTCAGTAATAAATCTGTGCTGGTTTTAGGTCCCATTTTAATACACAGAGCATTATTAAACATGCCCTAAAGGGAAAATGCATCATCAATCTTCCTACGTATTAATGAAAAGGTGGTACTGTAGTCTACACTGTCTCTAAAAGTGGCATAAAAATGAGTGTTCTCTCATGACTAATGGATGAAATACCAGTGTAATGGCTTMATGTGCTCTTTCCATCTTCAAGGGAGTGATTAGATTAATAGACTGAAAAGACAYGCTTAGAACAATTTTATTAAATTTTTGAATCCAGAGTTTCTTTCCAGACATTTTGCTTGCAAAAGATTGAAATCTGTGTGCCCAAGATTCAGTATAGAATGAGGTGTAGTTCTGCAGCAGAGGYACCTCTGTTGCTGTTCCAGAGGAAGTGTGTTTAAATGCTGCTTTCTTATGTATGTACCTTTATAGAGTACATTTGTTTCATTGCAATCATCAAATCTCTGTCCCTTTTCAGTGCATCTCTTGTGGCACTATCCTAGCTGATCTATGACATAAGAAATCTGGTGAAGTGAGAAGGGAATTCAGATGACTCTGAAAAATTAAACTTGATCTACTTTGAGGAAAACCCATATGTCGATATTCAGTCAGCACTCACTCTTCTGGCTGAGATCACACAATTTTTCTTCTCCTTAATTCACCATCAAAAAGAAGGAAAGGAATTGAAAGAGTAATATCTAATCTGTTTTTTCATTCCTTCTTGGGAGGAAGTAAATTAACACTTTTTTTGTAGTCTCATTGCGGTTTCGCAAGGAAATGGACCTGCTTCCTATCATTTAAGAATCCACAGAAGTGCATGGGTCATCTTTTTGGTCAATATTTTTTAAATTGTAATTCTGCAATGAAATTTTCTACTACTGTCCACTTCTCAGGGGAATTTGCTCAAAACCAAATGACAGATATATAGAGACGTTGTTCCATTAAACAATCAGTGTGAATAGAGCTTCTGTAACAACTGATGTTTCTTAAGGCAATTGTTTTCAGATGGATCAAGAATAACACCTTCAATGTGATTTATGCATCTTGCACGTTTTAAAATACATTCTGCAACTGCAGAAAAATGCAAAAGCAGAACTACTTACGGTTTCTATTAAATTGATCTAAAAGGTTGAATTTTTAATTCCTGTATGTGTACAATAACATATTTCTGTAATTAATATTGATCATACTTGATTTATTTGATTCTACTTTGAATTGTGAAATACTGCTGTATAGAACAGTGTTTTTTGAAGTTTTCTCTTCTCCTTTTCAGTCTTAYATACCTGCAAGACTGTTCTAATGGATAAGGGAAATTGATACAGTTTGAGGGGGGAAATGTTTTTCAACATATCTAAATATATAAAGTGGTTCAAAAGTGTTGACAMTCCTTTCTTGCTCTTTTCAGAGACAAATCTGACATAAAGAGAAAATGCATACTGACATCAGACACAGAGTGTGATGTTACTGATGTGCTCAGGAATGTAGAAGAGATCTATACAGCACACATATTGTCTGTAGAGCTCGCAGAGGAGGATAACTTTGAAGAGCCACCTTATGCAGTCTCTGAAARGTTTACACCTTATAGTCAGAGTAAGTAGAATTGCCAATTAAATCTTACTGTACATTTCTTTTCAAGATGACTTCTGTTGATTTAAACAAAGTTTAGATTGARCTTAAAGGTTTCTTACAGTACCCCTGCTGATATCAGAGAAGAAGATATTCAGACTTTCTCTGTTGCAGGGGAGGGTGTAATATTTTAGTTAACATTTGTTTCTTATTGCAATTAGCAGCATTTAATTAATATAATGTACTTAGGTGAAGATACTTGTTTACGATCTAGGCCTTTACTGTATTACTTTGGCTTTGTAAACTTATAATAGATTTGAGGAGGGAAAGTAATGGAGGGAGGAAGGGMAAAGAGCATGTGGTGTAGAAAATATTATGTCCATTTTTTAATTCTAAAAATCTTTGTTTAGCTATAATTGGAAAACCAGAGATAACGAATTATTCACAAAAAGGTTCCAAACTGAATGTCACGTTCAAAGATCCACTTACACCGTATGTATTTCCTAATGGAAGTTTTCAAAGTATTCGAGATATTTTCCAGCATAACCTGGAATACAAACTCTATTACTGGAAAGATCAAAGTTCTGGAAAGGTGAGTTCTAACTCTAGCTTTTATTCTGTAATAATTGYTATATTCTGTAYAGTTACACAATTTCTGTGTTACCTYAAGAGCTGACACTTGAAATGTTCTTTTCTTTTACAGAAACATGTAACAACAAAAAGCCATGAATTTGAAGTAAGCGTTGACAGTGACAAGAACTATTGCTTCTATGTGCAGGGAATCATTCCTTCCCGCAGAGAAAACCGTAATGGTCAAGAAAGCACAGTGTTCTGTACCAATGTAGGAAGGAGTATTTTAGATGGTGAGTGTCAGGTGACATTTGTCACTCACTCTTTAACATTCTAACAAAACCCCTACATCTTTAAATTGTGATGCTTGCTATGAAATAAACTATATACTATGTAAGTTAGAATACACAGCTGGAACATGGAAACTCATGGGAAGAGCTCACTCTCATGTTTAAGACTGTCTTTAATTAGTTGGAGCTGGTTTTAGAGTTTTGCCCAACTGTTTTGGTTAAATTTTCTGAGCTAATGCCTGGTGTCTGAGGTTTCTGATCTCATCACTAGCCTTCAGATTCATTTTTCTCTCCACTTGTTTTCCTCAGGTCCTTCCAATAGCAGGTCCTGTAGTAAGTGCTTGAAAGATTAGCTCTAAGACACAGACGTGCTGGAAACCTGCATATCCATTTACTTGTAGTGCAAGCTGACCTTTAATTATGCCAAAAGCAGACAATTAGAGTAAGACTCTTTATTCTTACAAGGTCAGAGGTTGGCATATTGACTTCTTTACTGGTAAATGAGYTAGTGACTGTAGGTGAATCAGGCAGTTGAATTTCAGATGAGCCATTTGGGTAACATTTTCTTCAACAGAAAGTCATCAATATYATTGAAATAATATATTGCTGTATTTTATCTTTCTTCTCCATGAGTAAGAATATTTGCACTCTAGAAAAGATCTTCTAAAATTGGCAAATGAACTCAAATTAGCTTTCTTATCCAGATTCCTATTTTTATCATAATAGTGATAAATTACAATTTCATTATAATTTAAATAGAAAACTCTTGGTGTTTTCTAGTTTACAACTAGAATAGGTTTTCACTTGGACAGAAATAATGTACAGGCAGGGGAACTGTTTGACTTATCCTTTTGGTGTTAGCATGGTATTCTAGTGCACTAACTAAACTAGATTAAAACCTAGTGTGAACCAGGTGAAAYAAAGCTTTACCTCAGTTCAGCAAATTCATGTTAAAATCTATTCGGTTCACACCTAAGTTGTGACTCCACTTCTGTGAGACAGTAAAATATAGAAAGCATTTTTTTGTTCAGCGGAATGAGTGCTAAGAATCTGTAGCCCTGTGACATTGTGGGTTTGATAGCTGAATCTTGGATTTTTTTTTCCCTACAGAATACGGAACAGAAGTGTTTATCATCATAGCAGTGATAGCAGTCGTAGTCATCACTCTTGCCATCGTCCTACCAGTGGTTCTGTGTAAACGCAAGAAAGCAAAGAAAGCAAGAGTTGTGAGAGAAAAGGAGCTGCTTAATGGTGTCTAAGAAAAAGGTATTGCAGACATTAGTGGCAGTACCAAAGCAGAAAAAAACCCAACAACAAGAAAACATAAATTGGGTAATTGTGTGGAGCCTTTTAGGCTCTCTGARAGAGGAATTTTGAAGCCCAAACTTTTTGTGGATTAAAAAATCCATTAGGACAGTACAGAAGAAAAATCCAGATATCAGGAAGCCCTGTGTCATTAATGGCCAGAGGCTGGAAGAGCATTCTGGTAATCCGTTACAACCATAGAATCACARAATATGCTGAGTTGGAAGGAAGCCACAAGGATCATCAAGTTCAGCTCCTGACCCTGCACAGAACCATCACACCATGTGCCTGAGAGCATTGTCCAAACACTAATTGAACTCTGTCAGGGTTGGAGCTGTGACCACTTCCCTGCAGAGCCTGTTCCAGTGCCCAACCACCCTCTGGGTGAAAAACCTTTTCCTGATGCCCAACCGAAACCTCCCCTGACTCATCTTAGTGCTGCTTTTCTGTGTCCTGCCACTGGTCACAAGAGTGAAGAGATTGGTACCTGCCCCTCTGCTTCCTTTGGTGAGGATGYTGAAGACCAYAGTGAGGTCTCCCCTCAGTCTCYTCCTTTCCAGGCTGAACAGACCAAGTRACCTCAGCCACTCCTCAGACTGCTTCCCTTCCAGAYCTTTCACCATCCTCATTGTCCTCCTTTGGACACTCTCACAGCTCAATGTCTTTTTTATATTGTGGCACCCAAAACTGYCCCCAGGACTCGAGGTGAGGCTGCCCCAGTGCAGAGCAGAGYRGGACAATCCCCTYTCCTGCCYRGCTGGTGATGCKGGGCCTGATGCYCCCCTGGCTGGCAGGGCACTGCTGGCTCCTGTTCAACTTGTCATTGACCAGGACCCCCAGGTCTCTTTCCTGTGCCAACATTCTCCAGCATCTCATTCCCCAATCTGCCTGTACATCCAGGGTTGCTTCATCCCAGGTGCAGAATCTGGTACTTTGCCTTGTTGCACTTCATACAGTTGGTGATTKCCCATCTCTAAATTGTYGAGGTCTCTTTGCAGAGAGACTGCTCCTAGACTGTTCCTAAGCCCCTTCTGTTRTCCTGCCTGAAAGAGGATTCTGAACAGGAGGTACTTTTGACTTGATCAGTATGGCCTTATTGAGCCAGAAGATTGATGGTACTTCTGAGGGAAAAAACACTACTTTTGAAAAATGTGTCCTTTACCTAACTAAAGGAACGTTTTTTTCTGTTTCTATGAAACAAACCCTGTATTTATCTGTATTTTAACAACATTAACTGGTGAAATGATCTGTTAGTTCAGATGTGACAAAATTGTTACTATTGTTTCTGCACTTCTTGGATAAAATTAACTTGGTCTATTTATCTTTGGAATTAGACAAAGGTAAACAAACTGAAACTACTGCACTGGCAACTTGTAAGAAACACTATTGAAGCAGGTACTTGCTTTTTATCTGGAAAGTATATCCAATAACACTACCCCTAGAGTTATACAGACAGGGGAGTCTGATAGTTCCAAGTAAGCATYAGAACAAGTTTTTGCAGGCTTTGASTCAACAGTAACTCACTTCAGCAAGCACTGTATAGGTAGCAGTTACTGCATTTTGAACATAATTTTTAATTACGCAGTTGATGAATGGTTTCTGTGGTATAGATTCAAATCATCTTGGTGATGGGATTTGGAGATACCTGTTGCTTTGACTTTTAATATTTATTTTATAAATGAGAATCTAATTTTTATACTGGTGATATCTGTATTTATGATGGTAATTTATACTTTTCTAGTGAAATAAAGGTGACTGGAAACATAAGTCTTTCTTTTCCTTTTTAAAACAATGAACAGCWATCATTCCAAAACTAAATTGAAAATACCTTTAGGAAACTTACATTGTGACAGCAGTGTAGGCAAACTGCCACAATCTAACCAGTGTGYAAAGCAGATTACCAGGGCACCTGTAATCATAAAACTAGGAGGAGAAGCCACAGTTCACAAACTGGAGGTTTTGAAGAGTCCTGAGTCACATTTCCAGTGTCTACTAACATGAGCAATTAGTCAGGGTTGCACTCACAGCTTCTCCTTCACTTTCCACAGTGGTACCTGTACTTGTGCTTGTGGTACCACTGTTCATTCAAGGCATTATGAGGCCTGGCCCAGAGATGAGAACAGCTCATGATGGYGATCAGTAAACACAAAACACACACAAAAAATACCAAGAGAATTGGAAAAAGTGATTTTGTAGTTGGAACTAACTGGCTGTGGATCTCAACACTTTATACATGACTTAAAAGAAGATACCCTTTGTATTCATGAGAAGGGATACCTTACGAAATTAATATCCCAATCTAACAATTTGTGCAGAATTGTATATTTTTCATCCTTGCTGTGCTATAGATTACCCATACACAGATAGTAAGACTCCTGTGAACGTGTGAGTGTGGTTTATGGGGGATTTTCTTTGTTCTTTAATTCCTCTTTTTACAGAGGGAAGAAGACCATCAGAATTCCCCCCCAAAAACCCTGTTTACTTCACATTGAGCAATAAATGCTTAATGCATTTTCTGCTGATGCATAAGCCTTGTATGGAGAAGGAATCTTACAACAGCAATTAAAAACATGAGAGCTCGTGGGAGTAAATTTAAAAACATTCCGAAGCTGTCATCATTACTTCCCTTCCCCGTGGCGCTTTGCTTCCTCAGCTTCATTCAGTGCCAAGTTCAGAAAAGGGAAGAGCTAATAGGAAAAGGAAAGCATGTAATTACAGCACAACAGTTATTAAACTAAGACCATGCAGTTCCTTGTCATAAACTACACAGAATGATGCTATAAATCATACTTCATTACTTAGAGAGATCTTGGTTTGTTCYGATTTTGAGAGGGAAGGAGGAGAGAAGAGACAGCCACAGAAATGCAAACGAGTGCCTTAAATGGCAAAAGAGTGACCCCTGACTACACAAGTTCTGGAAGCACTTCAGTTTCCTAGCTGCAGTATGTTATCAGCCAACAATGCTGAGTAACCCCAGTCACGGGGCTCACAGATCCTATTTCGAAGGCTTTTTTTTCTGTTTGTGCAGACAGCTGAGAAAGGGCTTTTAACTGCAAACTTCTTTAAGTTCTATCCCTTGGGCTGAGCCCATGCAAAATGTTTTGYGCAGAGATTTTCTCAGGGTTGGCTTGAACTTGTTACACCAATGAAGGTGACACGAGGAAGAAAGACTCGGCCCACACCTGTGGCCACTTCAGCACTGTATGGGTTTAAGATGGGGCCAGACACACAGGGAATGGATGTGAGAAAGGGAAGGCCTTTCCTAAGCACCTAAGTTCCCTGGCTCATCTTCTAAGCAGGTTTCTATAAGCAAGCATATTCCTACTGATGCTTCCAATTCCCCTGTTCCACATTGCTCCTTGTCATCTGAAAAAGGCATTCTGCTATTCCAAGTGGATAAATACATTTGCAGAGTCCCCTCACAGAGTATTTGTGTCCTCTACTTGTACAAGTCAATGTGTAACACTGCACACTGTAATAAGCCTGCTTTAAAACCACATTCTTCTTCACATAAGCGAATTAAGTTGATATTATTCTGCTATTTTTCTGTCAGCCCTAACAGCAATGCAGACAATATAATTACTGCCATTACTTAAAAAAGACCAAAGTAGGGGACTTCATAAGTGTATGTGTGATGGCTATGGCAGCAAACAGCTGAGCTATTTCTAGCAGACTCAGCTTTCCAGTGTGAGAAGGCTGCTGCTGAGAGGTATGTAATGATAAGAACGTGATTATAAGCTTAACTTGGTTCACTAGTTATGTGGCAACTCAGGACAAAGAGTTTCTGCATGAAGTGAGAATAAACAGCTGTGAYAGATTACACTCCCAGTTCAGTTTTGTAAGGCTGATTATTTTGCAGGTTAGTGATTGCTACACTGTTTCAGAACCTTGCAATATACATTATCAGATCCAAGCATTAATTGAACAATCTTCTAATTACACAGAATGTATTCACATACAACTAACCCTGCTTTCTATAGTCAATGTTTGTCCTGGTGTTCATGYTTGAGAATGACATGAAAAGGACAACCTGCTGGACAGGAGCAGAAGCAGGAACCRGCCAGCTGAAAACCTTTCCACAGCCCTTAGGTGTGGTGTTACTCACCATGGGGCACGCTCCCTCACAGAGTACACCCACTCAGGCCCTTTCAAAGACAAACTGCCACAGAGAGCTGCCCTTCCCTTATTTGATGGTGTGCATTATCCAGTGCTCTACAGCAGCTTTTTAAGAAAGCTCAGGGCACATGACTTGCACTGCAGATCTCTAACTTACAATGCAATGAGAAATTTTCCCACCAGTGAGAGCCTTCTGCTTCTTCTGGCAGGCTTTCAGTCAAGCCAGAGCCTCTTTCAGGATCCCCACAAAGAATCCACAAAGAACATCTTTCCCTGTAACTCCTCAGCCTCTAACTATAGCTGAATTAGCCAAGYTCATAGCAAGACTTCCCTCAAGGGTGATTTCTTCCAGTAAAGCCTGCCAGCACCTGGTTATAAACAAGTAGCCACATTGACTGCCTCCAGGGTTTCACAGCCAGGCCGTCTCAGTGTCCAATTGCAGAGGTTGCGCCTGTTCCTCATCTTGTTAAAATCTGCACCCTATTAGTGACATATTTCAGTGACTGSCTTCTGTAAGAAGCTTGAAATGTTTCTGTTCCTGACTTCCCCTAGCTCCTTTGTTGAGGTTTCCCTTCCTCTCCCCTATCTCCTACTCATTTCCATTACTTATTCTTCACGAGAGATGAACCCACTGCCTCATTTCTCCAGACAGCTGGGCAGGATCTCATTCAAATTAAAATATAGAACCTGAAGAAATCTATATCACTTAATCACAATCAAAATCATATTAATAGCATGGAAGATTTTTTTTTYCCCCTCTATACCTTCCTTTGGTCACTGTTATTGAGATAGTAACATCCAGAACATTGACTAGCACTGCTCTGAGTACCTTATTGCATCTAATTACATTAAGTGCAATTTTTTTACTGTCTTGTTTAAAATAGCAATGAAGTTATTCATATGAACTCAAACAATCRTTATAGTTCCACATCTCATTTACATTCACATTCTTTTGTTTCTATTTTCAAGTTTTCTACCTTATTACTTCAAGAAATATTTAAGTAGCAAAGTAATGACATYGTTATATTCACAAAAATATTTCATCGAAAGAGGTTTAATTAAAACCCACCTTCCTTTGAATACAGAAATATTTTCACAATGAGATCATATGGTAATTTTAAATTAGTCATTCAGTAATCACACAACTCAATTAAAAAGATGTGTGTAATTAAAAACAATGAGATTTTAAAACCTACTGCAATACGACGTACTCATTATTCCAGGGAAAAATGTGGGTTTGTTGAGGTTTTTAAGGAATGCATCCTTGATTAACACAAAAAGTTTTCCATCTCTTGCCTTCATACTTTACCATCCATTCACACCAAATATGTACATCTCCACAGAGATAATACTCAGTCTGATTTCCCAACTTTCCATTTTATTCTTCATATGATCATTTGCTTCCATAAAGCACCAAGGGTGCCACCACACCCCTGTATGTCACTGCTGCAGGAGTCACTGCAGTGGCACWGTGGACATCACAGATCTGTTCCTCCCCTCCCCTCCCAGTGATCCATCGAAACAGCGGCCCTGCACGTACCACTTGTACTGGGAGCAATCTCCACAACAGGAATTCTGCAAGCTGCGGCTGGTTTTTATACTTCGTGTGCCTAGAAAAGGTGAC